GAATTAACTAAAAAAAAATACGTTTCACCGTCTCACAAAAATTGTAAAAGAAAGATATTGGTGAAAGTTCAAAGATTTTGGAAGTAATCAAGTTATGGGGTTGAAGTTTAAGAACCTTAGGCAATTACATTGTAAATACGATACAAACCGATGTAGTATTATGAAGTTAGGTACCTAAGCTTATATAAGGTTGTTAGGTATATTCACTTTACCCTATATATATATATATATATATATATATATATATATATATATATATATATATATATATATATATATATATATATATATATATATATTTTCCTTCTATAAATAACTTTTAAATAATAATTTTTTATTTTTGTTTTGTTTCATAAGCACGTATAGAAACGGAAAAAGAAAGAACGGCATAGAAAATGGTTGGTCATTTTATCATCAAAAAACCTCCTATCTTCTTGATCAAATCGCTAAACTCTTCATCTCTAACATGACAATTCTTCAAACATTACCATTCTTTCCAAACCCCCTTTCTTTCTCTCCTCAAAATCCCCAAAAACCGCTAAACCCCAAATCTTGTAACCCTAACACCCATCATGCGAAGATCGCAACGAACTTCCCAATTTGCAAAAAGCTCGATAACAAGAAAACGATGGCAGCTCTAATCGGAACTGGGGTCGCCCTAACAACTCCTCTTTTAATGGGTGCTACTGCTGTAGCTGCTGAGTTGCCATTGTTGGGTTCGTCCCTGCAACTCGTGGAACCCTCCAATGCTCTCTCATTACCCACTTGGGCAATCCATGTTTCAAGCGTCGTCGAATGGTAACTTAACTGTTCATTTGTTTGCTGATGGATACTTTGGTATTCTGTAACGAGTCCAACCTAGCTTTTAATTTCTAATTTCAAGCCTATTCCTTTAGTGTATCTCCATGGTTTGTGATTTTGCTCATTTCCCGAATTTCGAAGGATTACAGCAATGATTCTAGTATGGCAATATGGGGAGAAATCTGGATATGAGTCTTGGAAGGGGCTTTCATGGGGTATGGTGAGTTATTATCAATCCAAACTCCCTTTATTTGCAATTAGTTCACTCATTTTGAGTCCCCCATTGTTGTATGATATGTACACATAACATAACGAGTAAATTACATCAGGTGCCTTTACTAGGAGGAGCATTTTGTGCGTGTACTTGGCATTTCTTTTATAACTCGGAATCACTAGAGGTAACATTTTAATTGAATTTAAAACGCATTCATATTCATATACAATTCATTGTGTTTAAATTGTTCTATGAGTAGAAAGAAAGTCACGAACTTTCATCAAATTTCAATACAAATTATAGGTTTTGGTTGCAATCCAAGGGGCATTAACGGTTATTGGCAATGCTACAATGTGCATAGCTGCATACCGAATCTATAAATCATCACAAGAAAGATCCATTGATACATAAGCATCTGTAATTCTGTATCTTGTTCATTGTGTTTTCCCTCAACATGTGTTACATTTATAGATTAGTCAAAAAAATCAACCCCAACTTCCATTTTTTAAACTTGTTCTTGAAATCTTATTAAGATGATCAGAAAGTGTTTGAAGTGTAATCTTTATAGAAAGCAGTTGTAAATGCTATTAAATTCTACTGATTTATATATTTGAAATGTTTATTGGGTATTTTTGAATTTGTTTGAGTTGATAATCATTTAGTGAAAATGTCTTGATAAATTGGGTTCTTAGGCCATTGACTTCTGTTATGTATCATGAGAAAATTAGAGACTCCGAATCTAGAAAGTCCCTTAGATGACTATCTGTATACATAGCATATATAATTGTATCCAACAAATGTCTATAAATATTAAGTGGTAATGTTGTACACAATATATTAAATAGACAAATGCCTACAATGGTGGATAATAGTCTAGTACGTGATAATATACGTGTGTAAAAATTGAATGTTATGTGGCGTCCACGGTGACATTCAATTATTACATTTAGGTATATCTGGTGTCGACATTGTGTTTATTATGAGTCCGTGACATTTGATATGACATAATTACATGATTGAAATGCATTTTAATGATGTAATAAGAACAAAATAAAAGTTAACGATTCATCGAATACAATTAAAAGATAAAAAAAGAGAAAATTGTATCTTATACGTGATCTATGATGGGAGCCTAGTGGTTGAGGTGCGAAATTTCACATATGAAGTTTGGATGCTGGTACACCCAAAATATGGTTAGTGTTTTGCAATTGACCTCTCACGTAGGCCTTGGGGCGGGTTGATGTGAGGCTTGGAAATAGGTCTAGATACAAATTTCCTTTATAACTAAAACACAAAACATGAAGCAAAATCTAAGTTAGGTCTTGGAAATAGGTTAGGATCTGAATTTCCTCCTTGATCAAGTGTGAAATAATAGTTACATCTAATGTGAGGGAGAGGATGTTGATGAAGTAGGGATACTCAGCTAAAGTAAGCTAACGGGAAGGTTGTTTCAACTTTCATCAAAGGTTCATGAAGTAATGACATTTAAGCCCCGTTTTATAAAAATATTTCCAAGTCTAAACAAAACTTTCTGGTTGAATGGACCGCAAAGACTGTTTGATTTGCACAAAAAAAGACATATTTCTCAGTAAGATATGTCTTTCCTAGAAAACCTCAAAACCACATCTTTTTAGCTGAATGGGTCGGAAATACAGTTATGCTCCAAACCTTGCCTATTTCTTTCTTTCTTGGATTATTAATTTATTTTTAAATAATTTTTTAATTTCTTTTTTATTGTATTGTTTCTTTTTTATTGGAAATTAATATATATGAATAAATATTATTTTTAATATAATATTATATATTAATAAATATTATTTTTGGATTATTAATTTCTTTTAAATAACTTTTTTTAATTTCCTTTTTATGGATTAATTTTTTTATTGGATTATTATATATTAACAAATATTATTTATAATATATAATATTTATATATTAATAAATATTACTTTATTAGATTATTAATGTTTTAATTCATTTTTATTCTATTAATTTTTTGTTGAACAACACCACTATCATTCTAATTTATTTAAAAAAATATCATCCATCCCACACCTATCAGATATAAACTGGGTCAAGGATTACACGTTGAGTTTTTAAATGATTATTATGTAATTTTGATTTTGTATGATAATTTATATGTTTTTATAATTATTCAGCAATTTCATCAATCATAATATAGAAGAATCTGATAATATGATCATTTTTCATCATTCATCACAATCAATCAGATTTATAATGAAACAACATGGTTTATTTTTCGATCAGAAAACTTTCTCAAATAGCAACTATCAAACGAAACCTTAGTTAATCTAATGACTTAATTAATGACTTAATTAGACACATTGAGTTGGGTTATTGTATGTGATGGAAGCATTATAAAGACCAGGGCCTGGCAGCCGATTGGGCCCAATTATTTGCCAAAGCGCCTGCCTCATTTATGTGCTGGGTGTTCAATTCTTGCTTTGCTTTTTTTTTCTTCATTAAATTAGTTTAGTTTTTTTTTTTTAATAATTATATTATTATTTTTTTATAAGGCCCACAAACGTTAGTTTTCTTTATTTATGAATAATGAACTTATTTTGATAAGGCCCACAAACGTCAATTTAGTCTTGGTTTTGTTTCTTTACTTTCTTAAATGATGTGAGTCCAAGTTTAAGCATTAACAATTTTTTTTGTCAAATTTGATTTGATTGGAATTCATTCTTTACATAAATTCAAGATAACAATAACTCTGTCCTCTACTTGTTTATATATATATATATATATAAACTCATATTTCTAGGCCTTTTATTTGTTTATTCATTTTTTTTTTTGCCACGGATCCCAAATATGTTTAACTGGTCTGATAAACACCCATAATTTTGATGTGCCAATCTTAGGCAAATAAGACATCATTTTTGTTATTATTCTTCATTGGGTATGTAGTTTTGCCTATGAGATAATTCCCATAGACTTTAGGTAGATACCAAATTCACATATTTGGGTCTGTTTGGTAAAAATAAATTATCATTTTGTAATTTAGTGTTTTGTAGGGAGTGTGATTGAATCCAAAAGTGATCAACGGTTGATCGAAGAATAAGAACACTTAGTTTCCGAAGGTCTGTAAAGTCGTTGATTGGATTGAATAAATGATGAAGCGTACAAGAGAATTATACTGGTCTGATAACCTAACTAACTATGACGAAATTATGGAAAACACATCTTAAAACGTACACTCACCCTGTTATGTTACATGTTATGGCATATAATATAGTTGTACTTGAAACACAATTTTTTCATTTTGAACACCAAATTTTATTGAAACAACCTAGCAAGATGCTAGGTAACAATTACAAGAAATCAACCTATATTTAAAGCCAATGACGGGTTTGTTGTCCGAAATGACCGAATATAGTTTCAACTTAGTTATTTTACTCGAAATCCAGAAATACAAGACCATAATAATGCTATGATAAATAGTACATTTTCATCGATGTAACCTACCTACACGAAAAGCTTTTCACCCCAACATTTTTAAAGCAGCGACATATGGTATCTTTTCATGCTTTAACCGTACACACGTAAATTATTACTTAGCCACGAGGCCAGCTATCGGGATTATTTTCCGACAGAAAGAGGATTACTTTGGGAACTAGGGTCGTTTCTTACCAATTTATGTTCACTTTTAGGAACTAGTGTCCTTCTTTCTTACCAATTTATGCTCCTTTCGTTGAGTAAAACCATTGTATGTGGGTAATCAAATAATCATTTATATAGAACAACCATAACATGTATAATATATATGTTGTATAACGACTATTGTAAATGAAGTGCTTTTTTTTTTTGTTGAAGTGATAGAACATAATGTATAAGATACATAAGGGTATCTAATGCTTTGATTTGTGCATACACACCAACAAAGAGAATCATCGACTTTATTTGATATGATGAAACAAGAATTAGGTTCTCGATTTCCATGAAAGTAGAAAATAAGGTCAATGCGTTGGGATTCTCGTTCTTTCTAAATTACTTTTAGACTTGAGATTAAAGAATTAATATGATAATAAACTCATGGTAGAAATGTCAAGCACGGGATACAACCTTCAAAATTTGAGTTTATTATGTTGTAGCATCTAATAGAAGGGTAGTACAAAGTTTAGGTTTTTATATTCTCACACGTGATAAGAAGCTTCAGTTCCCACCATTAGGGGCTCGAGGGTTGACCTTTTATAAAAAGAAAAAAAAAAAAGAATCTCCATCAAAATATGAAAGCTTGAGATACATATTTGTAGCATATTAGAATCTAACAATAGAAATGGTACAAAATGTTAAGAATAGGGTACAACCTTACATCCATAGTAGATAACTAAACTCATTTTACCTTGTACTAAACAGCCTTCCATTAGATGCTGCATCATTATAATCAAGAATTCTAGCAAATTGATAGGGAGAAAGAGTCCTTTCCTTGAAATGATCAAAGGTTGAACCTTTTGTTCTCCAAAAGAGATAATAAAGCAAGATTTTCTTGATGAAGTATGGTGGCTTTATTCCTCAGCCTCTCATTCTCTTCCAAAATGCTCATGTTCTCCATGTACAACTTCAAGTTCTTCAACTCCATCTCTTGTTTGATTTTTTCTTCAATGAACTTATCAACCCTAAAACACACAAAAGAAAGAAAGCCACACTCAAATAAGATTATTAATCCTATTGATAGAAAGAAGATAAACGTTAACAAGACCCACAAAAAGCATATAATATATATGTACCTGTTAAGCCTATGTATTCGAACCTGATTCCTCATACGAAACTTGGTTTGCTTTGATTTTGTTTTTTGAGTGTGGAAATGGTACGAAGGTGGTGACATGCATTCTGTGGTATTGCTAGTACACATGTTCACTTATAGCTTTTGAGAAATTCCTATATCGAATGAGTAAGATGCGAGTGTTAACATACACATATATGAGAAATTCCTATATTAAATGAGTAAGATGCAAGTGTATATATACACATATATGTTACATACAAAAGGAGAGCGCGCGCCCCTCGGTCAAGAAATTCAATGATGACGAGGGGGTTTCATGATTGAAAAAAGAAAGAACCCAACAAGTATCATATTCTATGGACAAGAGAGAAAAGCCCAAGAACATGGAAACCTTTTTTCTTCATCCTAACATTTCATTTCAATTCATTTGCTATTTTTGGTACATTCTTACAATCAATACATATTTGTGGAGTAAGTATCGATTTATGACAAATTACAACATCATTTTGTGAACATTTATCTTATATATGGTTGATATATATTTTGATTGAATGTTTTACATTGCTATTACCTTTTGTATATTGATGCCACCTTGCTAAAGATCTCGTCTTTTTGTTAGTGCACGTAGGGTGTCTATAGCACTGTAATATTATTGTATTAGTTCGCTGGCAAACAACATAGAAAAATATGTCATCGATAAGTGAAGAATGAGTTTTAAAGATTGTAGATTTATAGGAATAATCTATTGTAATAAACAAACAGAAGTTGTAATGAAATTATACTGGTCTAGTTGTATATAATTAATATTCATATTTTCAGAAAAGTAATAATTATATCCCACAAACTATTTTTAAATCAGTATTGATTTATTTTTCTAGTCAATACTTTACTACCATTGAAGTAATCAAATTTTACTAATACTAATCAAATACAAAAATAATAACTTTATAAACCTGCAAAAGAATACTGAAATTTTTTGGACAACGCAATCATGTTTTGGTATAAATTTAATAATATATGATTTTTTAAAATTAAAAAAAAAATGTATATAATAAAAAGAATAAATAACTAAAAGGACCATATAGTATATATAGTAAAAATTACAAGTTCGGTCTAAGTTTCATTATAATTACATGGATAATTCTCGTGATATATATTTGTTGTCAGTTTCGTGTTGATCCATTTATATACCTAAGCGTTAAAGTGTTCATTTTTTTTCTAAAATGACCATTTTGTTTTTGTACTAAACCGAAAAATGCAATATATCAAAAGAATATAAGTTTTTAACAAAAATAGAATTTTTTTTCATAAAGAAGTACGAATAATTTTGGAGAATATATATATATATATATATATATATATATATATATATATATATATATATATATATATATATATAATATATATATATATATATATATATATATATATATATATATATATATATATATATATATAGGTTCAGGTTCATTTGAGACCATTCTAATTTTGTGAAACCATAAGACCAAATTTAAAAATAATTTTAAAATGCAAAATAAATGGAAAAATCCAAAAATTCTTTTTTTAAATATTATTTTCGGAACTTCAATTAACTAAAAAAATAAAAAATAAAATAAAATAAATAAAAAAATATCCCCTTTTTTTTTTTTTTGAAAAATACGTGAAATAATATAAATAAAATATTACACTGACATATTCTAAAAAATAATTTTAAGATGCAAAATAAATGAAAAAGTGTAAAAATTCTTTTTTTAAATATTATTTTCGGAACTTGAATTAACTAAAAAAATAAAAAAATAAAAAAAAATTATATTTTTTTTAAATACGTGAAATATTCTAAATAGAATATTACACTGTACATATTCTAAAAATAATTTTAAAATGCAAAATAAATGAAAAAATTAAAAAATTCTTTTTTTAAATATTATTTTCGGAACTTGAATTAACTAAAAAAAATTTTAAAAAAAATAAAAAAATACGTCTCACAGTCTCACAAAATTAGGTCGTCTCACATTAACCTAACTATATATATATATATATATATATATATATATATATATATATATATATATATATATATATAGGTGGGTTCAATTGAGAAAATAAAAAAATGTTGAAAATGGGATAATCATTCTCAACCACTCATTTAATCTAAGCATAAAAAACACGGTGACAAACTTGTAAATATGTTAATAACCTTCAATATCAAATACGTAATTATAGAGAATTCGATAACAGTTCGTTCATCCTCAAAATTGCTCCTCCAACCTTCAACAATAATCCAGATTTCTTCAACTAAACCATCATCAATGTCATTCGGTGTTAATCAATCATCAATATTCGTAGCTGGGAGGTTCGCCGTTCAAGACAAATTCGTAACCCAAATTCATCAATTTCTTCGATTTGTTAGAGTTCATAATGGATTTGGAACTGGAATTTCCCAGATTCGCAAACGAAATCAGTTGGAATCGGAAGTTCTTCGATGTTCATGAAATTGGAATCGGAGTTCTTGACTCGCAGTCACGGTCAACATTGAAGGACTCAAAATCGGTACTCACAGGTTCCCAATCGGATTTTCGGAAATCAAAATCAAAATGAGAAATCGATCAAACATAGGTATCGCATCTGAAGTCGAAATCGGAAGTATATGATGATTTGGAATTGACAACTTGATGTTTTTAACATTTTTAAAATAGTTAACCTATATGAACTCTAACTATTTGATGAAATGCATAAACTAAATTACCACGTTATATTCATATATGAATATATATTGTCACCTGAATCAATATATGATTATTAAAACAAAAAAACGAATATACAAGTCTGTATGTTATTCATATGTGAATAACATAACATATAAAAATTATACATATTTGTGAAAACATATTGTAATATTTATATGTGAATATAGTGTGTAATATTCATAAGTGAATATATCATTTAATATTCACAAGTGAATATACTATGTATTATTCATATGTGATATACCTAAGGATGGCAATATAACCCGACCCGTTGGGGAACCCGATTAACCCGCCCCGATTGGGGATGGGTATTCCCCGCAAAATCAGGTAACGGGTATGGGGTCGGGGATCCCCGTATGACAAAAAGTAAGGATGGGGACGGGGACGGGTATGCTATTCCCCAACCCGCCCCTCCCCCGATTATATTATACCCACATATACATATAATATATTAGTGTTAGTATATATCAATTCATTATAGATAGGGCTGTAAACGAACTGAACATTCGGCGAACCATTCGTGAACTGTTCGGCGGGAAGTTCGTTTATGTTCGTTTATTTAATAAACGAACGAACATGAACAGAAATTATGGTTCGTTTAGTTAAATGAACGAACATGAACAATGGTCTCGTTCGTTCATTTATGTTCGTGAACGTTTGTTTACGATGTTCATTTACGTTCGTTTATGTTCGTTCGTTTAAGTTTATTTATATTCATCTATATTCAGTTATTTTTTATTATATTGCTATATTATATGTTCGTTTATGTTCATATATGTTTAATTGTGTTTTTTTATCTTTGTTCGTTTATGTTTGTTCGTTTATGTTCGTTTAGCATGTTCACGAACATAAATGAACGAACATGAACAAAGTAACTTGTTAAACGAACGAACATGAACAAGAAAATCTTGTTCGTTTATCCGTTTGTGTTCGTTTGTTGTTTGGCTAACTTAAACGACCGAACATGAACAAGACCTTGTTCGTGTTCGTTTGGTTCGTTTACAACCCTAATTATAGATATAAATGTTATATACTTTAAGTGAAATACGCCCATGACCGACTGACCATGCATTCGATTCACGAAACAGGGTTAGGCTATTGGTAATTCCTAATATCTCGCATATTCCGATTTCCAATCACGTCATGATCAATTGATCATCTGTCGATTCGCTTCATCGCTTGGGCTTAGGCGATTGGCGACTACCGAGTGACGATTCGTGAGACCCACGAGACTGTGAGACCGTCTCACAGATTGCAATTTGCGAGAAACCGAGAGTGAGATAGACGAGATTGTGATTTGCGACTTCATTACCTTAATCATGCATTCGTTCGTGTACCGTTACAACCTTAGTTACAACCTTAGTTCAATTGCAATTTGTGACTTCATTACTTCAATCGGCGCTCGGCAGGTCACTCACGAGTCACGAAACAGGGTTACTGGGTTACCTATCACAGCCTTAGTTACAGGTTAGCGACTTTTTTTCTCCTTACTGGCTTACTCCAATCGTACTTCTCAATTCTCATCTTTTGTTTGACATGATTTGCATTACAGGGAATTTAGGATGTTGTTGTGCAGATTATTCTCAATACACCATTCCAAATATGTGTTTATGATTTTCCAATTTGATATTATTATGTAGAGTGCAGACTTTGTGATGTTCATACTCTGTTTTTTAGATTTTGGATGATGATGATGAATTTATGTTTATAATCAATGTTTTTGTGTATATTGTATGATGTTTAGACTATATTTGATGTTACAAATTGTGTTTTTTTTTTTTTGTAGGTTTAGATGGCTACCCCAGAAAATGATAAACAACCAACCATGAATGATGAAGATGAACTTTAGGACAATGAACAAGAAGCTGTAGAAAATAATGAACAAGAAGTTGTAGAAAATAATCCTAAAAAAAGGTTCAAATCCGCTGCTTGGAACCATTTTGATCTGATTTTTGTTGATGGTGTTCGTAGATGGGCGAAGTGCGTACATTGCAAGAAACAAATGACTGGTAGATCCAATGATGGAACAACACATTTGAAAGATCATTACAGGATACATGTTCGCAAAAATACAAGAGATATTAGGCAACATATATTGGTTTAAGGATAAAAAACTATTGATGGTAAAGCTTATATGAGTAAATATTCATTTGATGCTGAAGTGTCTAGAGATGAACTAGCAAAGATGATTATAATTCATGATTACCCACTCTCCATTGTTAAACATTATGGTTTTCGAAAGTATACCGAAAGTCTTCAACCTTTATTTAAGGTGCCTTGTCGTAATACAGTCAAGGGCGATATAATGAAGGTATACGAAGATAAAAAAAATGTCATATCTTGAAATGTTTTGAAGAGAATGCTAGTAGGATTGCTCTCACGTCTGATATGTGGACAACAAGTAACCAAAAGAAAGGTTACATGGCAATCACAACACATTATATATATGTCAACTGGAAGTTACAAAATCAAATTATGAGGTATTTACTATAACTAATATTATTATTTGTAAGTTATATTTGATGAAGTTTGTAAGTGTTGTATTTTGTTTAATGCAGCTTTATACATGTGCCATCTCCACACACTGCTGATGCATTGTCACAAGCTATGATGGAATGCTTTTTGGAGTGGAACATTGACAACAAGTTGTCAACATTAACACTTGACAATTGTTCAACAAATGATGCCATCGTCGACAAGCTTTTAGGTACGCTTACTACTTTATCGCTAATTTTGAAGGGGGGAATATTTCATATGCGAGTTGTGCGTATATAATTAATCTTATTGTGCAAGATGGATTTTCTGTGATTGCCAATGCAATTGAAAATGTTAGGAATAGTGTCTCCTATTAGACAAGTTCTCCTAAAAGAATACAAGATTTTAGATTTTTTGCTCGGCAAGTGGGTGTTAATTGCCAAATAGAGTTACTTCTTGATTGCAAAACAAGATGGAATTCCATTTATATGATGTTGAGTGTTGCTTTGGAGTACAAAGAAGTTTTTAGCCGTCTGAGCAAAAAAGATAAACATTATGTTTGTTTGCCTAGTGAAGATGAATGGAATATGGCATCAAATGTTTGTGAAAAACTGAAATTGTTCTATCAAGTGACTGAAAAATTTTCTGGTACCAAATATCCCACATCAAACATATTCTTCCCTTTAATTTGTGACATGAAACTATCATTGTTGAGTTGTAGCGTATCAGATAATAATGTTATTAAGTCTATGGCATCAACTATGTTGACCAAATTTGAGAAGTATTGGAATGTAATACATAATGTTATGAGTGTAGCAATTGTCTTAGACCCCAGGTATAAGTTAAAGTTGATCAATTATTTCTTTCCAAAGTTATATGGGAATGAAGCAAGAGGTGAGATTATGCAAGTACGCAACATAATTACTGAGTTATTTGAAGAGTATAAAAAGAAACATAATGCAAAACAAGGAGCTTCTTGGAAACGACAATGTGAAACAAACGTCTTTGAGGGAAGGGGTTCTACTTTAAGCAAATCAACATGGGAGTTGGATTTCGAGAATATGCGCTTTCTGAGGATGATGGATTGGAAAAAACTGAGTTGGATGGTTATTTAGCTGAGAAGTTGTTACCGAATGAGGAGGGCTTTGCATATTAATGTGTTGGAAGTGTAATGGTTCTAAGTTTCCAATATTACAGAAGATTGCTAGAGATATCTTAGCCATTCCAATTTCTTCAGTTGCTTCGGAATCAGCTTTTAGCATGAGCGGGAATAAAGTGACAAAACAACGTAACCGACTCAAAGCGGAAACAGTTGGGGCATTAATGTATAGCCAAAGTTGGTTACGGAAAGAACTTTAAGGTAAATTTTTAAAAGATATATCAATTGTTATATCATACTTGTGTATAAATATTATTTTTTCTAAAAATAAGCTCTATATGTTTCAGGTAAAAAGCAAGGAGAACCAAAGGCTTTTGACCAGACAGATGCATATGATGAGGATGTTAAGTAATTTTCAAAGAAATAGAACCAAAGACTTGAAATTTATTTTGTTTAATCATGTTCTCGTTTTGATGGTTGTTAAATTTTATGATCGATGAAAACAATCTAATTATGAGATATGGTTTTGATAGTGTATTAAACTTGATTATTTTTTGTGGCTTAAGTTAATTTATTATGACATATGGTTTTGAACTTTTGATAGCACGGGGATGGGTCGGGGATAAGCCCAAAATCTAAAGGGGAGGGGATTAGATTCCCCGCCTCCGTTGGGGATGGGGATGGGGATGGGGATAAGGTTATAAACTCGGGGATGGGGATGGGGATGGTAAACCCGTCCCATCTCCACCCCATTGTCATCCCTAAATATATAATGTAATACTATGTAATATTCAGATATGAAAATATTATCTAATATTCATAAGTGAATATATCATCTAATATTCACAAGTGAATATACTATATAATATTCACAAGTGAATAAATCGTCAAATATCTGAATATAAATATATTATGTTTAGTATATGTTATATCCATATATGAATGATACTTAAAATGTATTTAAAAAAAATCATAGTTTTTATTCATAAATGAATAACGAATGAACTGTAGTAAAAATCAGATTCATTTTTATTTACTTATGAATAATGATAGCTGAAAATATAAAAAAAAAATTATTTTATCTTAAAACTATATCAATATGGATGTTTATTTGTAGAGAATAAAAAATCATGAATTTTGGTATATTTAAAATCATTTTTCGATAAAAATAGCTTCTTAAAAATTAAAAAAAAAACGAAAAAATTATGTTTTTGTATATATTAAGGTAATGCTTAGCATAGTTTAAGAAAACATGTTTTGTTGAAAACACATGTGCATTCCTTTCCCATTTGCATCAGTACATTGGAGGCTTTTGCGACAATAATAAATTATTGACTGAAAATGATTCCTCCATTCTTAACTTTTTTTTTTCTCAATTGAACCCTCATCTATTTTATATATATATATATATATATATATATATATATATATATATATATATATATATATATATATATATATATATATATATATATATATATATATATATATATATATATATATATAATTTTGGAAAATAATTTTCTTATCAAAACAATAATAAACAGTTAAAAATAAATAAAGAAGGATAATATAGTTTTTTAGATGCATCAATAGCCCGAGTACAGAAACAAAATTTAAGGCCAAACGTACAATTTGATCGAACATATCAACATGATTTTACTAATTTACTAAAGAATTTAAGACTTTTATGTATTTATCCTAAAAAGCATTGATGTACTTATTTACTACATTAGGTTGTTGCAATAACGTCGGTGTGAAATTTTTTTGTTTATTTTAATATAATATTTATTTTTTATTTTTTAAAGTACTTATATGATATTTGTAAAATAAATCATATTTGTAGTACAAAAATTCCATATTTCTTTTCATGGCCCATTATGAAGATCTTTTGAGTTTGATTTTATAACATTAGATATTATTATAAAGTAAAACAATTTTCCATAAATTTAATAATTATACTCGGATGGCGTATACTTAATCGTTTGAAAATTTGGTTATAAAAATAATAATTATATATGCGTTTATACTCAACTCTGTAGTTGACTCTTACTCGTGATAGTGGGGTTTGTCAAAACGATTATCTTTCATAATAAGAAAAAGCTTTGTACGCTTTCTATTTGTTGTTTTATTTTGCCTTTAAATTTTAAATAACTTCTCTTACTTTTTGATATCAATATTGATAATATAAATATTAATACTTATAATAAATTAAGGTATAACTTCTGATAGAATTTGATAATTTGTAAATAAGGAATACTAGTCCGAAGAAATACTTTACACGTATTTTTTAGATAAGAGCTCTCTCTCTCTCTCTTAACATCTCCTCTGACACGTATCACAATATTATCTGCTTTGGGCTCTCGGCACGAAAACTTTTCAGGGGGTCACCCATCCCTTGATTGCTCTCGCCCGTGCACGCTTAACTGCAAAGTTCTTATGGAATCAGCCGTCCTCACAGCTTGAAAACGTGTTGTGACAGAGAATGTATCCTTACCCTCTTAAGAATGCTTAGTTCTCCTTTCCAGCCGATGTGGGATCAGGTGCAACTAACCATCCTGCCTTCACATCCCATTATAGTTTTTGACGTCCCCATCAAACACATCGACTCGTGTCATGACTCTGATACCAATTTGTAACAACCCCAATACAGGATAAAAGTTTTCATTTTTAAAACAAGTACTACAAGTATAAAAATTGTTCCAAAACCATCACAATGTATAAATATCACATCATTAGAGTACAATATAAAAATGCAGAAATAACGGGAGAGAATGTTGTGCCATAACGTCGGGCCCTTTCCCTCAGTACCAGAAATACCTGAAACCATAAATACAATCTGTAAGAGAACACTTAGTAAGTTTTCCCCAAAATACCACATACCAACATACAAATTAATGTCATGTGCCAAATCATAGTCTTACGTATAATTCTTGTTGAGGGCCAAATCCTAATCTTCCATACAATTGTCAGGGGCCAAATACTGGTCTTTTTATGCAATTGCCAGATGTCAGATCATAGTCTTTCATGAGAACTGCGAGGGTCCAAATCCTGTTCGTTCATACACATATCACACAACTAGTTTGTATCATATTATACAAATAATGGGTCGGCCTCAGTGCCTTCGACTAATTGATACAGTGAGAAAACTTACCTCAGTCTGCTGGAAACACAATACGCTCGGTTGCTGAATAGAAAAGTCCCACACTTTAGAAGCTTCCTAAGATGATGTAGATTCAGGATCTTGAAGCTCAACCACTTCCAAGGATTGGTCACCAAGTTCTTTTGGATCCGAGTGTCACAAATCCCCCTCTAGCACATATCACAATATTATCCGCTTTGGGCTCCTGACACGAAAACTTCCCAAGGGGTCACCCATCCCTAGATTGCTCTCGCTCAGACACACTTAACTATAGAGTTCTTTTGGGATCTGTTGCCCTCACAGCTTTAAAATGCGTTGTGATAGGGAAGGTATCCACATCCTTTTTTAGGAATGCTTAGTGCTTCTTCCCAGCCGATGTGGGATCGAGTACAGCTAATCTGCCCGCCTTCACCTCCCATTATAGGTTTCGACCCGTCGAACACATCGACCTGTGCCCAAGATCTGATACCATTTGTAACATCCCCCTCTTGCACGTATCATAATATTATCCGCTTTAGGCTCCCGGCACGAAAACTTCCCAAGGGGGCACCCATCCCTGAATTACTCTCACCCAGACATGCTTAACTGCAGAGTTCTTATGGGATCCAATGCATTAGAGGGGATACCCCTGTAAGATCCACACATGCGTGTTTCCCTCCGACCCATCCAAAAATCAAAATATCAGCCGGTCTGAGGGTTGACCTTCCTTCTGTCGGGTCAGTCAATAAATTAACAAGTGCCTCTTTCTTAGCGAAAACCCCGGCACGCTTAAATTGGTTATTATTAAAAGTAATATTAAAATTTAATTAGAATTAATTTAAAAAAGTCAGATTTTTTTAAAATAAGGAATTAATGATCCCCTAAAATCCGAAAATTACCCTTCTTAAAATAGGTTAACCGACCAAAATACCATTTTGCTAAAAATTGTGTGATTAAATGATACATGCTACTCTATTGTAATATCATAGACCCTTAGAGTATGATTGTTGATTCTATTCATCTGGTGGTCCAGATCTATGCATTCTGGAATACAATAGTTACTAGAAACAATACAACCTAATCATACATATATATATATATATATATATATATATATATAGGTTCAGGTTCATTTGAGACCATTCTAATTTTGTAAGACCGTGAGATCAAATCTAAAGTTAATTTTAAAATGCAAAATAAATGGAAAAATCCAAAAAAAAAAATTCAAATATTATTTTCGGAACTTGAATTAACTAAAAATAAATAAATACATAAAAAATCCCGTTTTTTTTGAAAAAATACGTGAAATATTCTAATAGAATATTACACTGATATATTCTAAAAATAATTTTAAAATGCAAAATAAATAGAAAAATCTAAAAATTCTTTTTTTAAATATTATTTTCGGAATTTGATTTAACTAAAAAAAATAATAAAAATAAAAAAAATCCATTTTTTTTTACAAATACGTGAAATATTCTAATAGAATATTACACTGTATATATTTTAAAAAATAATATTAAAATGCAAAATAAATGGAAAAATCCAAAAATTCTATTTTTAAATATTATTTTTGGAACTTGAATTAACTAAAAAAGATAAGAAAAAATAAAAAAAGTTTCTCACGGTCTCACAAAATTAGGCCGTCTCACATGATCCTAACCCTATATATATATATATATATATATATATATATATATATATATATATATATATATATATATATATATATATATATATATATATATATATATATATGTGAAACCTATTTTTAGATACTATAACTATACAATACATAATTTTTTGGTATCGATACGATACATGTGTAATAACGGGCTTTGTAGGCATCTATGTCAAAAATATACTTGATGGCTATAGAGCTATCGATTGCATGTTATTATATTCCTGAATTTTCCATGAACATTATCACCACCACCATTGAAATACCATTATTCCATGGTCATCACATTTCATAATTTCAACTTCTGAATTGAGTGTGTGCGTGCGTTTGTTATTGTACAATATATATTTTTTCTTCTTAATTAGCATGAATTGGAGGGTACACTTGAAAATTTATGTTATAGAGGAAATTCTTTTATGAAATTAAAATCTAGAAACAAATAACTCAATGTTGAGTTATTTTGCTACATTTTAATTGATATTATGAGAAAATTACTTAAGTTACCCATAAACAATTCAATATAAACAATAGCTACGTTAACCTTTTTTTGGAAATTAGCAAAATACTTGTTTGTTGAATATCAAATACAATAGTGACCTAAGGAAATCGACAAATAATGCTAATAATTATATGTCTACTAGTTGCGAATAATAAATCAATTT